TGGCGCATTGAAGTGCAGCATGCAGTACGGAGCATGCGGTATGTGGCATGCAGCAGGTTTCGTCTCTTTTTAATGCTTTTGAAAAATGGTCAAAGTTGTTGCTGCAGCGCGTCTTTTTGGCCAAGCTGACAGGGGCCAGCATTTACCTATATATACGTATATATATTTATATATATATATATATACCAATAGATATAGGTATAACTCTGACTCCGGGCAAAAGATCACGCGCGCTGCTTAACCCAGTTTTTGAGTTTTTGGCTGCTGCACGTGAGTCCTTGCTAATCATTTGTCTTCCCTCGCTGCATTTTTCCAGTTGGCAGTGCTGCGAAGTTTCCATTACGCACTGACAACTGATTGCCAAGTTTATTATTGCTTCCGTTTGCTTATGAACAGCCAAAGGATACGCCATTTCTTCTACCGTTGCCAAATGCTGGCAACAATTTATCAACCCGCTTTCTTACCCCCTCTGACCTCCACGCACACGAAAATACGTCATAGAATTACGAGTGATTTTCTCTTCTGTTTTTTTTTTTTTTAACGGGTCACATTCATTTATTATCCATGATAGTTGTTGCGCTCGAAAGCTATTCCAAAATGTCATTCTATATGGCCCGATAATCACTTGCAGGAATTGAGCATGAATATATAGTTCACAAATCAAATTGTTAGTTAAATCTGAGTAATCTGAGGTATTAACTTGCTCTTTAGTCTACAATTCAGTGTTTATTGTGCATTTTATTGAAATTGTTAATCGATTGCCCAGCATTACATTCTCTTAACTTTGGGAGAACGTAAGAAGGTCACCAAGCTTTGTCTGCTCCTGATATAGCAGGAGTTACGTTAAAGCTTTTAAATGTCAAGAAATGTAAAAACATATCTACTATACTATATATGCAAGGCCTCACAATATTATTTTTAATGGATTCAAATATTTATGTAATTTCTCACAGATGTAAGATGTAAAGTACCTCACTTCTTCTCAAAGAGTCTTTCATATAATTAATAATATTCTCCGCTGCCCTGGCCTGACTAAGCAATTAAGTTAAGATCCAATTCGGTAATGCTTAACCTATATGTATATTAAGCACTTTGGGTTGCTCTGATGCTTGAGTAAGCCGCATTGAACTTGACATAACTTCATGGGATGTGGCTGAATGGAGATGCATCAAGTCATTCAATGGCTGCATTTAAAAAGCTGTAAAAGCTCTGCTCTGCTCTGCTCTCTGCATGTGACAGCACTTAACACTGCCACGCCCACACACGCACACATGGAGTGGCGAAGTCAAACAGTCAGAGCCACAGCAATTGAAAGTCAGTCACAAAAATGCAATCACAGTTTGACACAATTTTACCGAAGCGCCACTTCAACACGTTGCAACTGCAATATCTTTACACAGAGCCTGTAGCAGCAGCAGCCAAACAAGCGAACCAGCGCACGAGCGACAACTCTGCAAACAACACAATGACAACTCTTTAACACAGTTAAGTTCGCGTCGCCGTCGGCGTCGATTGTCGCTTTGCTCTATAGCCCCGTGTCGCTGTATAACATATGACTGTATAACAGTGGGTGTTATATTTATTATATTAGTTTTGTAGGCATCTCATGCAGTTCTGTCATTTCTTTCATATATAAAGAATGGCTTTTTTTTAATTTTTATAATATTATCTGCTAAGATCTAAGTTCAAGTTCCATATCGCTTGAGCACTGTTCAATTTCTATATAATAAATGATCAGTAATCAGCAATTGTTAAAAATGTTTTTTATGTTTTCGACTAGAAATTCGAACATCTTAAAGAAAATCTCCTTAACCAAAAGCCTTTCTTGTATTTTCCAGAAACTGTATTAGCGCAACTTAAATATTTTGTATCAAAAGGACTCACGTATGCTATTAATTAATTCTGATTACAGAGATCTTAAGATATTCGTGATCAAATTGAAAAGTGACTAATATAATGTCTGTTTCTAGATGGTGTGAAGTGTGCCACAAAAGCTTAAAAAACTTTGGTAATTTTGTGGGACTGTTTAAATGAGTAACGAATATATACATATGTATATATATACCTAAGTCGCCATTTGACTTCTCTCCAACTTAAATATTCAGAGTATTCAAAATGCGAATCGAGTTTTCATCTTAAATTTGTTGTTGCTGCTATCGTTATCGTGGCTTTCATCGCCGCTGAGCGTGCTCGAGTGCATTTACACACACACACAATCACTCGCACACACACAGATTCAAACAAACAAAAGAAATACAAATACAAACATATGGCATTGCCGAATGCCACACACACACAGCGAGGACATTTTTGTTGTTTGATTGCGTTTTTATCTACGTCATTTCAGCAACCAGCAAGCATGTTTGGGCAGTGTGGCAACCCTGGTCATGCGGCAACTGCAACAGCTCGACTCTGGCGATATTTTACAGCGCCAACATTTTATTGCAAACATTGTGCAATTTCACTTTAAACGTCAATCGATTTTCATTTGATTTTTACGACCATTTTCTTTCTACTCTTTGCCCATTTTGTTGTCCTTCTTGCCTTTGTGTGTTGGCCAAGCTTTTGCGTTTCTCAATTGCAATCACATTCACATTTTTATACCCTGCAGCCCATAAAGTGTTAGCTCGTTAAGTGGTTGCGAAACAATGGCCTCTATAAGGTATGCATATATATATTCTGGTTTGACTTCAGGCTGTCTATCTAAAGCACTGATCGAGAGCAAACTCTCCCACATATACTCTGAGCTATTCATAATATAACTATTTGAAATGCATAAAGCGTATCTGTGAGTCAAACAGACTCCATTTAGCGCACTTCCTTAGCTGTTATTCCCAGCATTTTACTTAACGCAGATATTTTCTATACAATCGTATTATCCTCTTGTATGTGTGTGTGTGTGTTGGGTGTCAAGTTTAATTAACTTGACGTTTATTGAGACAGACACTTTGCAATGCAAATTTCTTGATATGATTTTCTCAGATACTTAATTTGTCAACGCTTCGCTGATTTATGAATTCAAATCGATTCGATTCAATTTGCTGCCAGGCAAATCAAATGTGCGATTTTTGAGTGTCACAAAGTCAACAATTGAATACGGAAAGTGCAAGAGAGAAGGGCAATGAAAAAGAAAGAGAGAGACGGCAAAGGAGATTAGGAGTCTATGATTCATTTCTAATGGAAAAATTGATTTGATAGTCTCAGCTATCAGGCTATTGATATCTTGCATACATAGTTAGAAATCATCAATAAATTAATTAAAATATTTATTACAACAATAAAAAATACAATATTGATTTATAAACTATTCATAGCATGCTTGTGATGTGTTCTCTTCATGAAGTTGCTGAATTAATCCCAGCAATGGTCTATGGACTAAAGTGACCCAAGCACGTTTACATGAGAAATGACTTTCTATGCATTATAGAAATGAAAATCTAAAACGTTCCTCAGCTTTAATATAGACTGTGTATCGACTATTATATGTTGTTAGGCCTGTGGGTTTTCCGTCCTGCCTCGCCTCTCTCTCTCTCCCACTCTGTTTCTCTGGTATACCACAAAGGTGTGCGCCGTGAAGCGTGCTATACATTTATTAAAGGAAATGTCAAAAGTAATTGAACCACGTAGGCAGAGCCTCGCAATCAAAACTCTGGTTAACTCTTCTGCTCTTTGGCGACCTCATGTGCTACATTAACTTTCGCTTTTTGTGTAGTTTTCTGAATGGATCAAAGAGGAAGAGAAGTGAAAGGCGGGCGAGGTTGGGTCTTGCATGTTTACGCCATTTTCGCAGACTCATCGCATGATTTACGTCGAATCGACTTTGGCCAAGTAATCATGTTGTACACACACACATACACACACACACACGAACGAGGAGCCAACTGAAAGGCAGCTGGACACAATTATGGGGGCCAAGAGGGCTTTCAATTTCACTTGGCTAGCTTTGGGTAAACAGCTCCTGCTGCTGCTGTTACTGCTGTTGCGGTTGCTTTTTCTGCTGTTGCTGCTGCCGTGTGGCGATCAAGTGAAGCATGCAACAACCGCAAGGGTCACGCAAACGCATCAAATCAATGAAAGTGGGCACTGCGCCACGATTTGCACTTCATTGACTTCAATCTATAGCCGCTGAGCTGAACCACAGCCCGTCAGCTCTTCAGCTCAACAGCTGCAAGGAAAAGTCAATGAAGTTCAAGTAGAAGCAAAAGCTAGAACTGCAGCTGAAGCTGAAACTCAAGCCACAGGCGCTGCTTAAAGCATTTTCAGTCCATTCGCTTTACTTTGCCCCATTTGATGCCGCCGTCAGTTTATTAAAATGAAAATTGCCAAAAAAAAAAAAATAAATAAATGAAAATATCTCCAGCATGCTTATGCTGTTTTTAAATACCCTATATATACGGTTATTAGAATGAGGTATTCAGAGATTGGCATGGCCAATGCTTTATATATATAGATTCTTGATCGATATGTGCTGCATTGCTTTAACTGTTATAAGAAAATTCTGAGCTCATCTATGTCTTACGCATCTTCCTATGGTATAGCATCATAATTAATTTTAATTTCCTTTTATTAGTTTTAGTTATTTTATTAGTATTAGTATTAGTTAAGTTCTATATTTTTCTTGCATTACTTATTTACTATAGCATTTGTAAGCCTTTCTGCCTACAGGGCATCTGGGAGTCCTGCCTACTCGAGTTAAGCGCTATAAAATTGCACTCATATGTGCTTATTGAGCCATGGGCGTGCACCATTGCCCTCAAAATTGAGCCACTGACCCCACCAGAGAATCCATCGCTTAGAAATCCATTTCACATAGTTCGCTCTTAAGTTATACATACATATTGATTTAATCTGAATACAAATCGCTTAACAGCAAAAAAGAAAATGAGCAACAAAAATTGGGAAAAAAACGAATAAAAACAAAATGCTTTGAAACTATGCAAGAAAAGTTGCTGCAAGGAGCAAAGTATTTTTTGGCGAGCTTGAAGGAAGTGTATTAAAGATAGTATAGTATAGTAGAGAGCTGCGATTATTATATTTTGCAATTTAAGATAACAAGAAAGTTCAGTTTTTCCTTAAATATATTTTACAACTAAAGAATATATTTTGAAAATTTCAATTTCGGAAAATTTGATTTGTTTGCGAGGCTTTCAACTGATGCGATTCGAACTCCGTTAACAATTAATTATTCGTGCAACTAGTACTAATACTATTACTTCTACGCTCAGTTCTACTGTTGTTGCTACTACTGCTACGAGCTGTAGCAGTAGTAACAGCAGCAGTAGTACTCAGAACATAATTAATAGTATTAGTAGTAGTAGTAATAATATACAATATATTCGAAACTTTTGATACACTAATTCCACTTGAACAAACTCAGTAGAAAAATCATTAGAAATATTGTTGAAACTTCTCCTGTGAAGTGATCTGCAGCATTGCATCGATCCGGTGACTGCTCTGTCCAGATTATCTGTGAGCCGATGCCCATCTTATCGGCATCCGCCTGAATTATGTCGATGATATTTTGATCTAACTTTCGCTGACGCGTCAGCAGCTTGAAGAGTGGCATAGGCGAAATGCTCGAGTAGCCACAGAGTATAGTCATGAGCTGAGGATCGCTATAGACCACTTTGTAGGTGACGGTGACGTTCATTTTCCTGGCTCTATAATTTAACTGAAATATGCTGTTCTTTGTGAAATTATTCCAAGGAAACGACACCGTCTGTTTGACAGCTCGAATTTCCTCATGGATTGTGCTAATGTATTCCAAATACAGCTTGAGTTTTATATCCGCAGTTGGTGGCACGGAGACATTCAGGCACTTCATAACATCCATATTAGGCACGCGAGCTGCCTCATACCAATAGCCCGACATCTAAGGAAAAATCTGCTCGATCAGTTATCTTCTATATAGCTTAACACATATGTAAAGCACATAACTTACGGCAGTTAGATTAAGTGGCTTTGCCCGAACCTCTCGATTGCATGAGAATAGTCTCAGACCTCCGATTTTGCGTTGATATTGAGCACAGCCCGTCGAAACGAGCGCCAGCAACAGCACAAACAATCGTTGAACAGCCATGCCAGAGAGAGAGAGAGAGAGGTCTGTGCCGCACAGCCTCCGCCAAGCAACTGATTAGCATGCTGCCTAACTAAACACTTTTAAGAATGCTACGCTTATCAGACAATTGTTATACATATACAGATACAATCTATACTTTATAGAGAGAGAGAGAAGTAGAGAGCGAGAGCTGGTTAGTAAGCGACAACTAAGACACGTGCTTGATATAAATGCGACAAATATATAAACATGGGTATCTTATCGTCTAGCCTATAACTGTGTTGTCAGTATTAAAATGCAATTTCCATTTATTGTCAGAGTGAAAATTTTATATAGCAATACGCAAACATATATTTAATATAAGTTCAGCTAATTTATTGATTTTGAAAATACTTTACATAATAAAAGCAAGATTTGTGCAAGATTTAGTATTTATAGATTTAGTATTAATTTAGTTTTAGCTAATTTCCTATTAAATATTTTTTATTTAAATTTTCTTTCTTTATTATTCAATATTAGGTTATTTATTTATTTAATAAAAAATACTTTTTTAGTTTTTTTTATATTAAGTATTATTTTTTTATTTCATATTAAATATTATTTTATTTATTTTAGATTATTGTTATTTATGTTATATAAATATGTCAAAACAAATGCTTTCTACAGCTTCCCTCTTCTTAATATATATATATATATATATATATAATATATATATATATATATGTTGGAGCGTCGTTAGTATTTTCCATGGCTCTAATAGCGCAGCGAGTTTCGATGCGCAGGCTTCTCGATTCAAAGTTGAACTACTCGCCTTTTCGTTTCTCTGCCTCGCACCGAACCACACTCGACGACAGCGTTGTAGCGCTGTCGTCGCGCTATAACGGAACTTCTTAAAGCGACAAAATGCAAAGGACCAATCAGGGCGCAATTAGCGGCTGATGCAATATTTTTTAGTATGATGAAATTAGGAATTCTGGTAATAACCAGAATTCTCATACAAAGCAATACACACACAGGAATTCTGGTAATAACCAGAATTCTCATACAAAGCAATACACACACAGCGCGTACGTGCAACACGCAGGAACTATCAAATACAGTGCGTACATACAGTACGCTCCGACACGGCCATCCTGACCTTGACACGTCCTCGTGTAATATGCCAAACATTAACTTTAAAAATGTCTTTGTAATAGATTTCAAACTTAATTCATCGTCTCTTTTAGACGGATATCCAACCAATAATCATCGTTTCTCTTAAACGGATAACCATTAACAATCGTCTCTCTTAGACGGATATCCAACTGATAAAATATTCAGTTCAACATTTCTTCATACAAACTCTTAACATTTATTCTTAATTAAAACATTTGAAAACATATTTCTTTCAATTCAATTCAATAACTTCACCTATGCAAGTTACAAAAATAAAACATGATGCTTGTTTTATTACATAATATTTTGCCAAATTGTCGATTTTACATTTTCTTTAACTAAATTTCCAAATTTCATTCAAAAAGAAACAATCATCGTCTCACTTGGACGGATAACCTTCGTCTCACTTGGACGGCTCACCATCGTCTCACTTGGACGGATAACCTTCGTCTCACTTGGACGGCTCACCATCGTCTCACTTGGACGGATAACCTTCGTCTCACTTGGACGGCTCACCATCGTCTCACTTGGACGGTTCACCCTCTGCTTCTATCAGACCATTTGACGAGCCTGGATCTTCATCCTCAATGTCCAGCTCATGGGGCACATTTCCCTCTGGAAATTTTCTTGTGTCCTCGTGACAGTATTTATATAATCGTTTACTCGATAACGACTTTAACATGTATCTGTCACCGTCTAGGACTTTAACTACCAAAAATGGACCCTTGAATTTTGGGTCTAGTTTTGTCTGGTGTCTCTCCTCGTTCTTGAGAAGGACATAGTCACCGACACTGTGTCTTACAACGGCGGCCTTGGACTTATCAAATCGATTTTTGTTGTAAAAGGCTAAAGATTTCATACTGCTACTTGCTCGAGCCCGTGTGGAGTCTAAGTCTACTTCCAATTCTGTGTCCAATGGAGGAACTAATCCAAGAGGTCGACCTTCTTTCCCTATTAACATTTCTAAGGGACTAGCCTCAGTTGCCCGATTTGTTGTGCAGTTTAAAGCTAGCTGCACCTCGCCGAGAGCATCTTGCCAGGGCCTTTGGCTTAATTCGACTGCAGTTAATAGGTTCTTGAGCGTGCTCATAACGCGCTCAACTTGTCCATTAGCACGACTTGCCCCAGTCGCGATTAAATGAAGTTTTATGGTTTTTGAACAGCAAAATTCTGCAAACTGCCCGCTAGAAAAACATCTACCCTGATCAGCTATAATGCGTGTTGGTGCACCAAACAAGGAAGTTGAAGACTTTATGGCCCTGATACAACTCTCCGTATCTATTTTGAGAGTGTGGTACAGGTGTACGAATTTTGTGAAGCTGTCAATTTGAACAATGATATATTCCTTTAAATCACTTTTACCACTTAATTTGCCAGTAATGTCCATATGGACGGTGTGCCAAGGGATGCTAACCCTTGGTATAGGATGTAATTCTGCTTGAACTTTGCCGGAATGTGACTTTGCTGTCCTGCAGGTTATACAATTGTCAACAAATTTACGGACATATTTGTTCATTTTCTCAAACCAGTAAAATTGGTAAACTTTGTCAAGTGTTTTTTGCCAACCAAGGTGCATGATTGACTCATGTACCTGGTTAACTACTGACCATCTGAAATTTCGGGGCACAACTGGCAAGCATCGTGTCTTACCATTTTTTGGATTTTACGAAACAACATCCCTTTTCTCAAATCATATGTTTTAGTTACTTCGTCTAGTAGGTCATTTGAATTCAGTTTACTGACAAGGGCAGCAATATCCGGGTCCAATTGCTGTTCGGCAAACAACCAATTATTTGAGATTTCTGCTATGTTTATTCGCTTCTCGGGAATTTTTTCCAAAATTAATTGTTTCTGAGTGACTGGGTTTCTAGATAAGAAGTCGACATGTGCCATACGTTTTCCTTCTCTGTACTGTATGTCAAACTTGAAAGATTGTAAATAAGACCACCAGCGATGAACTCTAGGAGTTAAGTCTATTTTGGTTCGCGATGCCTTTAACGAGTTACAATCTGTATAAACCACAAATTCTCTGCCAAGCAAGTAGTGACGGAAATGTTTAACGGATGCAAATACTGCCAGAGTTTCAAGCTCATACGAGTGGTACCTAGACTCGGCTGGCGAAGTTGTTTTACTAAAATATTCTACAACGTGAAGCTTATTGTTAATTCGATGTAAAAGCATGGCACCAAATCCGATTGAGCTAGCGTCGGTGTGTAGTTCTATAGGGTATTGCGGGTCGAATATTACCAGAACTGGTTCGTTTGTAAGAATAGTCACAATTTTCTTGCGAATGCTTTCCAACTCAGTAGTCCACGCAAAACTTTCCCTTCCTGATGTTAGGGAATACAACGGCTTTATGACTTGAGAGAATCCGGGTACGAATTTGCGAAAATAGGATGCAAGACCAATAAACTGCCGTACACCAAAAACCGTCTGTGGCGGTGGCAACGATGTTAACGCAACAATCTTTCGCAAGTTTGGTCGAATTTCCCCTGCTCTTACCTCATATCCCAGATATTGAACGACTGTTTTTAAGAAACTACATTTGTTAACATTAAAAATGAATCCAGCATCTGTGAGAATGTCTAGTACTATTTTCAACCTTTCCAATCCTAATTCGACTGTGGGTGACACGATCATGATATCATCCATGTAAACAATCACGTATGAATAGGCCAAGTCACCCAAGGCACGCATGACTGCCCGTTGGAAAACGGATGGCGCATTTTTGAGTCCGAACGGCATGGTCAGGAACTCATATTGACCGTCCGGGGTCACAAATGCAGTGTATTCTATGGAATCAGGGTGGATAGGAATTTGGTGGAAACCACTCGCCATATCAAGACACGTGAAGTAATTTGCGCCACGCAGCCTAGCGATCTGGTCGCTAATGAGCGGCAAAGGGTACCTGTCTGCGATTGTGTTAGAGTTTAACTCTCTGTAGTCGACACAAAGTCGGTCTGTACCATTTTTCTTCTTGACAAGCAGCATAGGACTGGCAAAAGGGGAGCAGCTGGGTCGAATGATGTTGCATTTAAGTAACTCACTTAACTTTTCTCGGACAATGTCTCTTTCTTCAGGGCTAAGTCTATAGGGCCGGCGTTGTACAGTTTTGGTTGGATCAATCAAGCGAATTTTCATTTCCCCTGTCGTGACTCGTGTAGATGGTGCCCCTTTTACAAGTGCAGTGGAGTAATTCTCAAGCATTTTTATTAGTTTGTCTTTATCAGCCTCGCGCAATTCGGTATCGAGATTTGTAAGGTCAACTGGTTCCCTATCTATTGAGCAAATATTTACGGCTTTGGCTTTTACTACGTTAAACGTGTTTTGTGATATAGTGACATTAAATCCTTGTTTAAGAATTTCGCGGCCAATAACAATGTCGCTTTTCAAATGATTATCTTGCACTACATGGAACAATATTTGAAGTGCGTTCTCATTTATGGTGACTTGGCTTAATATTTGTAAGGTGCTATATATGCCAGTATCGCCTATACCTTTTAGCATGATAATGCTGTTAAAACGCTTACCAGCTAGCTTACTACATATTTTCTCTCTAATGAGTGAACACTCTGCGCCAGAATCAAAAGAAATTGGGTAAGTCTCACCGAGCTGCATCATCACTCCAGTTGGCTCTGGTACAAAGCACTGGTTCACAGTTTTCCGTTGGAATGCTCCCTGTGTACTTGTTGATTCCTTTTTCGGACATTGATTTGCGAAGTGTCCAGGCTGGCCGCACTTGAAGCAAGTAACAGTTGGCTTGTCTCGCTGAGATGTCGCGTCCCCCTTTTGTCGCATTTTGGCTCTGCACTCAGCAATTTTATGTCCTGGTTTGCCACAGAAATGGCACACTATTGTCAATATTCTCCTCTTCTTGGCGTCAGGTCCAGGTCCGGAGTCGTCATCACGGTCAACATTACGATGTTTTTTAAAGGAGAATGCGCCTAGTTCGGATTGCAAGTCACTTCTAGTTTGAACTTTTGACGTGAACACAATCCGTTCCAAGCGGTTATCCACATTGGCTAAATGCGCGAGCACAATTGAAACAGCAATTTCTTCGATGTTTTTGTTTTTCCAATTGGAAGTTAAAGTGGTCACCAAGCGGCTAGCATAAACCGCAAGACATTCGCCGTTAGTTGGGCGACTGTTTAGTAGATTTAGAAACATTGCCGACGACGTTTCACTATTTTCGTAGCGGCGGAGGAATAATTCCTTAAATTCAATCCACTTAATGCCGGGATATGCAATTTGAGTTAGCCACTGTGAGGCACTGCCCACCATAGCTTCGCTTAGTGCCATGATGAGTCTGCTTCCTTCTAGGGGCTGTTCCGTTAATATAATGTCAGCTGTGATGGACCACTTTGAGGCATCTGCACCTGCAGTGTCAGAGAAAAATTTTGGCAAAGTGACGCCACGAGTCTGCTGTTGCTCCCGTGTTGACGCTTGCATGGTTCTTGCAAGCTCCAGCAGATTCTGGTTCTGCATTTGTAAAATTATGCGCCACTGATCCTCTGAGAATGCAGGAGGTGGTGCTGATCCCACTTCTGATGTTGGAGCGTCGTTAGTATTTTCCATGGCTCTAATAGCGCAGCGAGTTTCGATGCGCAGGCTTCTCGATTCAAAGTTGAACTACTCGCCTTTTCGTTTCTCTGCCTCGCACCGAACCACACTCGACGACAGCGTTGTAGCGCTGTCGTCGCGCTATAACGGAACTTCTTAAAGCGACAAAATGCAAAGGACCAATCAGGGCGCAATTAGCGGCTGATGCAATATTTTTTAGTATGATGAAATTAGGAATTCTGGTAATAACCAGAATTCTCATACAAAGCAATACACACACAGGAATTCTGGTAATAACCAGAATTCTCATACAAAGCAATACACACACAGGAATTCTGGTAATAACCAGAATTCTCATACAAAGCAATACACACACAGCGCGTACGTGCAACACGCAGGAACTATCAAATACAGTGCGTACATACAGTACGCTCCGACATATATATATATATATATATATATATATATAATATGCACCCACTAACACTTATTACACATTAGAATACCCAAATATTACTCATAAGCAACTATTTCCTGTTATAGGGCGATAAGCACTCCCTAGTTCCACAGAGTCCGGACGATAGCCAAGACCAATATGGTTACGATTGCCATTTCTGTACGAGCGGCGGCATTGCAACGATCCGCAGATTGTTCCGTCCAGATAATATCATCGGCATAGCCATTTGCTTCCAGCAGCCTATTAATCAAGAGCATCTGGTTGGCTGGAATCTCGCGCTGGCGTGATAATACTTTAATGATAGGCAAAGTCGCTGAGGCCGCGTAGCCGCAGAGGATGACAAACTGCTTAGGATAGCTGAACTGTATTTTATATGTTAGGGTTAGATTCATCAAAGGTGTGTCGTATTGCAATTTGAAGATGCCTTTGGAAGTGTCCTCATTCCAGGGAAATGAAAGAGTCTCCTTAACGACCAATGGTTTTTTCTTATCGACAGTCTGGATGTACTGCAACTCAAGTTGCAATTCCTTATCCACAGTCGATGGCACAGAGACATTTAAACACTTCATTACTTCCAAATTGGGCGCACGAACAATCTCGTACCAATAGCCCGACATCTGTGCAGAGAAAATCAGGTTAGAATCAGACAGACAGTCCGTTTAACAGTGCCTGCTAAAAGTCAACTTACATCTGTGAGGTTAAATGGTTGTCGATCTACTGCAGTACTACAACTCAGATTTTCCGGCAGCTGGGATTGCACACATTGCGTCCAACCCAGTGCCAAAAGCAGCACAAATATTATATTCCTTTCCATTCCAAAGTTCTGCACACTTCCGCACTTAAGCGACAACTGACTCATGCGACGGCCCGTTGGTACAACTTAGCTTATCAATTAGCTATATACAACCATATATATACATAAATATATTGCCATGGCTCTGACGGCTGATGAGTCTTAACTTTTGTGCAGATTATGTTATCGATCTGTTATCATTATTTCGACTTTTATTGGTCTCTTGTAAAGAGTGTATTGTAGGGAAAAGCGTATATTGGTTTTTGTGAATTGTCAAAAAGTCAGTGGACTCTGTTGAGGTTCATCAAGAGTCGTATAGACATATGTATGTATATATAGTTACTATGCATACGGTTTTCTAGTCTTGAAAGTAGAATTAACTAGTTTTACAGGTGGAACTCTTCTACTTTTACTTTAATTACATAACTCCTATGACATAACTAATACGAAAATATTCATATTACGTTAGCTGTGCTCGTCTTTGGCGAGTATTATGCAGTCAGTAGCGCACATAACGATGAGTTTGCTGCTTGGCTAGACAAAATCTCTTTTAATTATCAATTTTGCTCTTGGCAAAAATCAATTTTAGCTCATTTTCAGCTCTTAGCCATGCCCATCCAAACTCTCATTTTCATTACTTCTAAGTTATGTATATATTTAAGAGTGTCAATACAGTGATAGCAAGCGATAATGTAATTGGAGAGCTGACAAACGTACATATGGCAGTATCACAGCTGGATTTATCCACCCAAATAAAATTTCGCTTCAATTTCTTTCTTTCCAATTGATCGCCAATGAGCTCTTTGATTTGGGGATCCAGATCTATCCGACGCGAAAATATCTTAATTCTCAATACGGGCGTGACCGGAGAATGACTGCATATAATTGTCATATTCACGTAATCAGTATAGACGACCATAAAGCGTAGAAATGTTGTCATATCGCGCATCTCATACTTCACCAGAAAAATGCTATTGTTGGTAAATTGGTTCATTGGAAATGAAACTGTGTCCTTGTTTTTTTTTACACTTTCACCGATGTGGCTAACATAGCTCAGCCTTATATTCAGAATCGGGCTCCCACTCTCTGGCACTTCTACTGTGAGGCACGTTAAAGAGCTTGTCTTGGGAAAACGTCCCACCTCATGCCATATGCCCTTAAGCTGTATAGAGATTCGTGTACGTCATATCGAATCGAATCGAATCAACATTTAAGCATATGAATCTAGATGTCAACTTACACCCATCAAATTAAGCGGCATGCCCCTAGGGGCCCTTTTGCAATCCATCAAGTATCTGTCCATCATTGCCCTCGGAGATGCAATGCAGTGCACCCAAGGTAACAACTGGAGCAACATAATATATATTTTTATCTTCATTGCAAGATATTGTCACAGCTCTGCTAATACTTTCGAAACTATTATGCTTTTAAAGCCAGTTTACTATGTTACTATTTCTCTAGTCAAATTTGGTTTCCTGTAGGCTTACGGAATAGCCAATGCCATTGTCTAGCTGCAGTTTTTATATGCCTAACCTTTTCTATAAGCCTAAATTAGCTGTTCCCTTCTCCTCAAAGCTTTAGCAGCTTTAACTTTGTTCTTACCCAAAACCAAAAGAATTATGCATTTTGTGTGCCGAGCTCGCTGCTTAAATATGCAGCTAAAGCCAAAAGCCGGCAACTTCCAGCATACCAAAAAAATATATATAAAAAGGACTATGAGCAAAAAAAAAATGACAGTGAATAAAGCAGGCAGCGCAAACATGCGAAACTATTAAAAACATGTCTTTGTCCTTTGGCTTTGGCTGCATATAATGAAATTCCTTTGCCCCTTGGCCCCCCCCGCCCCGAAAACTCCAAAGCTCCTCAGTATCAATCTAGGTGAAATATTAACAAGCCAGTCGCAGTCTGAAGTTGCACGATAGAAGGCCGATGTCGTTCCCGACGACAGCTCATAAAAATTCCTAGCTACAAAGCGGCTGCTCCTCTCCCTACCTCTTTCTTCCTCTCTCTGTGTGTCTCTCTCTCTCTCTATCTCTTTCTCTCTGCTGCTCTTCCATGAAATGAAATGAAAGCAGACCGTGAGCTCTGGTTAAAGCACCAACAGACGCTGAAACAATAGACTTGAGTTAACTTAAATTGATTTCCAGACGCGACAGTGTTTAGGGAAATCCATCCAGCCACGCCCACCCAGCCCGCGCCGCAATACGCAGACGTTGCACTAAGTGGAAGTGGAAGTGGAAGTAGCCTCTGCACCTTGATTGCAAGTTATTTGAAATTTTGTGAAAATCTCTGAATAAAAAACAAGCAGAAGTAAGAGCATTCCAGACGAGCAGATACCCTGTTTATCAAGCTTCAATACTTCTTAGTCACGGCAGGATGTAGTTCGAAAGGACATGCTGCTTTAGTTTATATTAATCTTAATCTAGCATACCCAAGTTTACTTGTACAGGGTATTCAGTAAGTCAGCCAGCAGGCACTACGAGCTCTCCGGCAGCTTCTTTTATAACGTTGCACTTGAAAATCTTGAGATTGCACATGAAATTTTTGTTGCAATTTGTTGGCGCATTGTTTGCCAACATTTGGCGCGAGCAGAGCGGACACGGGGCAAGGGACACTTCTTTAACTAAAGTTGCTTTGTTGCAGTTGCTCAATTTGGTTGACTGACTTTCTCACTTTTATTACTCCGCTGCATATTGAAATCTTCTCTTCATTTATGCCACTCAATGAACACTTTGACGTCGCTGTGACAGTCTGAAGTGCGAATTCAGATTCTCGTTGTTTGCTCAAATTGTGTCCATTTCCAGCACTGGCAGTGGACAGTTCGGCAAATCAGTGTCAACTTATCTAATTGGCTAAAAGTAATTCGAATGTTGATGTGGCGCTTAAGCTTCCAAAATATAAAAACTCATTGGGTATATATTATAGAATCGTATAGTATACATTACTATAAATCGATACCTGTAAAATATAAAGTTTTGAAGACAACTGAAATATATGTGTGGGTCGCATAAGTATTTCAAGAGTTGCTTTGACAGACGGACATAAGCCATAATGAAAATCTTATATTTCTATAAAAAATAGGTAGAATTAGGTGATTTATATATTTCTGTCTGCAATCTATATAATTAGGAAATTATTGTAATGGAATCTATTATATATGATAAACAACATTCACTCAATGAACTATGAAACTTGCTTAAGCTTTACCAAACACTCTTTATAAATTTAATTACTCAAGAAACCCTAATCCAAAGGCAAACTTTTTCTTGCTTATTAAGGAACTCTAAAAAAAATTTAAAAATTTATTTAATTTAGTAGCCAAGAATTAGACTCTACTTGTGAAAGTGCGATGAATTCTGGACTTAAAGTGAGACTCTTTCCTAATGTGGCGCCTCTAAGTGACAGTGAGATTGGAAGATAGGATGAAGGATAGAGGATCAGTAAATTAAAGAGACGAGATCGTGATGACAGAAGAAAGATTTTTATATACATTTAAAAAGATTTTGAAGCGGAGAGGATGAACTTGCCGTAAGACTATATTCAGAAACATATTTTTTAATGATTCCACTTTAAAAATACATTACACTGCAACAGAATATCTGAATAGTAGCTGTAATTATGAATCTTTAATTATTATAAATTAGTATTATAAATACGATAAATAATCTATGAATATGCAGTGCTAGAAATCTTGATTTACAAGCACCATTGAAAAGCTTTAACTGACTTTACGACTGATTAGGGCCAACAAGCTGCACTAGTTATTGTAAATAAATGTAATATATATAAAGAAAAACTTACTTTAGTAATATTACAAGCTGTGCCTTTTCTTAGACGCCCAGAAATCTGAGCAGTCAGGTGCCCTGTGAAAAGCAGTTGAGAATTATAGAAACTTAGCTGAAGCTTGAAGCTTGAAGCTCTTCTTGCATCGTTTGCGCTTACGCAGTTATTAAAAGCAGCTCGATATGATCGCTGATTGCTTAACTTTCACCTTGTCGCCCAGTTAAGAGCACAATTTATAAAGCGCTCGTCGTCTGCAACAATGGAGTTGCAACAATGAGAGCCCGCTTCGGTCTTTACTGGGCTGGGGGCAAATGGGGCCTGCACTTGAAGACATTTCGCACCGGCTGGCCATGGAGCTGAGGGCCAGCGCAAACTTTTTAAGTGAATTTTTGATTAGATCTGGGCAAAGTTTTTGTCGCCAGCGACAACAAACGGCATCGCATGCATTCCGCCAGAGTTGCCAACGTTGCTCAACGCAAAGTCGCCCAGCTAGTTGTGCCCTTTTGTAATTTGCGCAAAAGTCTATTTATTTGCGCAAACGATAATAATAAAATATGCGCTGCAGATAGTGCCTAGTAGAGCATAAAGTTGACTGCCACACACCCGGACATCGGGCAGCTGGGCCTGGTCCACAATTACGAGGCTCAGACTGAGAGGCTCAGACGCTGTACCTGTTTCTAGCCAAAACTTTTCGCAAACAGCTCACAGTTTCTCTAGCCCTCTCTCTCGCTCCCTCTCTCTCAATTCAAGTTAAAGTTTCTGTACGAAAGTTAATAAAATTATTTGCCACAGACGTTGATAAATATGACACAGAAGCCCTTCGCAATGGCAAATAAATAGTAGTGCAATACAAAATGGCGTCTGCTGCAGCTAACGGTGTAAACAATATGGCGGCAGCGGACAGATACTTTGGCAAATTATTTGCCCAAGGCTTATTACATTCTCTATGTGTGTGTGTGTAACGTCAAAGCAGACTAGTAATAAAACATGAAAGTCTCTTTAATAGCTAAATTATCTAATCTAATTAATACCGATTGCTGCTGGCTTGAAAGATTCGATAAGATAACTATGGAATAATGAGGAATGCGTTTACTCATAGCTGAAATTCTAATGAATCATCAAAATACCAATAAAGTTTCTAAGAAAGAATAATTTAAAAAAGTTATTTCATATATATATTTCAAATACTCGCAATCTATAGCTTACTACATCTTTGTCTTAGCTCTACAAAGTAGAAGCAGCTGATTTACCTTATTATTAAGCAACATTCTGAAAAGTGTATCTCTTGGCTGCATTCTGATTCGATGCGCTCAAAACTTATTTCACGCAAATCAAGTCACATTTGAAGAAACATTTTCTACATCTCGAGTCCCCTAGCCCTGTGCGACGCCCACATCTGAGTGCAACTGCTAACCACACTTAAATGAATCAACAGAATTCGCCATTAAAGCAGAGTTCTGTACTTTGCGAAAGCACCCCTATACCATGTACAACTGAAGGGTGTTTGCTTAGCTCTTTTCTGTATTTTGTTTTTTTTCTCTTCTTTTTTTTACCAGATGCATTCGATGTGTGTAGTTATTATTCATTGTCGTGCTTGAGCAAATATCAAATAAAGTTTTTTTGCTTTGCTTCTGGGCGAATTTCTATTTTTCTTCATCTATATATGTTGATACTTTTTGCGCATATGAGCGGGGCGTGTTTTTTTTATAGCCAATCCCTTCATGAATCTTTGCTTTTTTTTTAATCGAAGCATTTGTAGCGTGAAATTGTCCTTGAGTTGGCAATATGCTCGAATTTAAAGTAAAAACTTTGATTGGATCTTAAGTTTGTTAATGTAGGAAAACTGTGCATGCCAGTCATTAGCTAGTCATTAATCATAATTAATTACTGAGAAAGTCACTGACAAAATATGAGTAAATATGCAAAGTACTGAAAGCCGTAAAGGGTTCGAAGTTTTCGATCGATTTGCTGGCAAAATAGAGTCTTTTGCCACAAAACTGTTGACAATAAATCTCAATTTTGGGCAAATTAGGCGACGATATGGCCAACAACAAGGCAACGGCTCCGAAAAGATGAAGATGAAGCTAACTGATATACGATATAGCAGCCCAACCACCTACGCCCTGTCAGGTAAGAGCTAACCTGTTGGGGGCACTGCGACGGGGGCTCTTGACTGGCATGTCAGCCACATATCAAGTGCAGCCATAACTCAACTCTGCAGCCACAAAGCTGGCCATTCCGAGGCGCGCTCCACACTGACATTTGCTCAATTTATCGTTATTTCTCTTTGCTGCCCACAAAAAAAGACGATGAGGAAAAGAAAAACAACAAAAAATCAATTTTTGCCTATGATAAAACTCGAAACAAATTGTTCCGCAAGTCACAAGAAAATTGAAACAAATAATTAAATGATTTTAATACACTTACAGACAAATTTTTAACAACTACAACTAGAAGAAATTTGCACTAATTTTTATTTATATTCGAAACGTATATAAATCTAAATTTCATAACTAGATTTGCATTGGAAGTTTTCAAGAAATATATTGAAAATCCTCAAGAAGCAGACAGCAATATTTCAATTTGCTTTAAATCAAGAAGTTAAACTATTTGGATCTGGAATTTACTATTC